TTTCTCTCAAACATAATTTTCAAGTCATCTGAAACAATACACCTGGATATAAGGGCAGCAGATTTACTTCCCATTGTTTAGCGTCCAGAAGCTGAATTATACAAAGCACTCTGTTTCCTTCCACCCTTGTTACAAACCACTCAATTCTTGCCTTTGTAATACTGTCTTAAAATCAGTGGGGGCAGCTACACTTGGTAACATTTTGCTTGTTTCAAATCCTTTCCCCTCAAACTACAAGCTAAGTACAGGCACACAGTCTGTGTTCCAAACCTCAGAGATACAGTGTGGTATAGGCACTCATACAAATACCCAACTACCTTGGGGAGAAAAGCATCCACGGGCCAACCAGAATATCTTATCTGATATTATAAACTGCAGATGCATTGCACATTCTGTTTCAAAATTGCTGCATTTTTAAATTACTTGTAATCTCACTGAGGGCAGTAATGGAGTCTTAGAATTTTCTAATGTCTATAACACAGCCCAACACTGGTAATTCATTACATGAATATTTATTGATGATCTTATGCTTTAAAGAAACACAATTTTTATAGTCGACTGAGACATTTACTGATTTTCCTATCTAATTTTCATCACTTTATAGATTTATGTAGAATAAGACAATTAAATTATAATTTGAATGTGGATGGGAACAGGAAAAGCACTTTCTTCATGTGTATGTGTTGATTTTCTCTATTATTTATGCAACCAAATTGCCATGCATCAAGAATTCTCTACTTAGGATACAATGGTGTGTGTGTGCGTGTGTGTGTGTGTGCTTTAAGACTGATTTTTAAATGGTTCTGAAGAAATTAGGGGCAGGACAGGAATAAAGACGCAGAGGTAGAGAATGGACTTGAGGACACAGGGAGGGGAAAGGGTAAGCTGGGACGAAGTGAGAGAGTGGCATGGACATACATACACTACCAAATGTAAAATAGATAGGTAGTGGGAAGCAGCCACATAGCACAGGGAGATCAGCACAGTGCTATGTGACTACCTAGAGGGGTGGGATAGGGAGGGTGGGAGGGAGACGCAAGAGGGAGGAGATATGGGGATATATGTATATGTATAGCTGATTCACTTTGTTATAAAGCAGAAACTAACACACCATTGTAAAGCAATTATACTCCAATAAAGATGTTAAAAAAAGACTGATTTTAAAGCATGTATTTGAAAATTAAGGTAGCAATCAATGATTACAAATTAAAACACATGTAAGTTTCCACTTTTTTATAAATGATTATTCAAAAGACCATTGAAGTACTACTTTTAATTATTCATAGAAACCTCGTAGAGTGTCAGTGCATCCAGACTAAGAATGCCCCAGATATTGTCCAGAGATTCTTATTAGCATTTAGTAAACGTGGGTCTTGATCTGCATATTTTACACTAAATATGATTTCCAGGTATACAATTTTCTGGTGAGGAGCTAATTAGATGGTCTTAGCAGGTAATATCCAATTCAAGAAGAGTTATAGAGCTAGGGATATGACACCAACCAAAGGATATTCAAGGCTGAGCCAGGGGTTCGAAGGGAAGGGCAGACTGTAAATACAAAAAGAATATATTCTAAATTCTTCCTTCTCTGGTGAACAGCAGAGTCTATCAATATTTTTTTAATTAAAAACTATGTGGCATTGGGCTCCCCTGGTGGCGCAGTGGTTAAGAGTCTGCCTGCCAATGCAGGAGACAGCGGTTCGATCCCTGGTCTGGGAAGATCCCACATGCCGCGGAGCCACTGAGCCTGTGTGCCACAACTACTGAGCCTGTGCTCTAGAGCCCACGAGCCACAACTAGTGAGCCCGCGTACCACAACTACTGAAGCCCGTGCGCCTAGAGCCCATGCTCTGCAACAAGAGAAGCCACCGCAATGAGAAGCCTGCGCATTGCAACGAAGAGTAGCCTCCGCTCACCACAACTACAGAAAACCTGCACACAGCAACGAAGACCCAACACAGCCAAAAATAAACAAAATAAATAAAAAATTAAAAAATAATAAAAAATAAATAAATTAAAAAACAAAACTATGTGGCTCCAATATAAGAGTATATGACCCAGCATAGCACAGTTTCTACCACCATCATCTTACCAAGGCAAATAACCTCTCCCCTTAAGTCACTAAGCCAGTTCCAATGACCTACAAACTTTTAAGCAAGACACTAGTTTTAGACATATCTACACAGTATGGATCCATGAGCAATCATAAATTACAGCTCCGTGCTTTGATTATAACTTTGAAAGGTCTATCAATAGCCACCAAAGAAACAATCAATCTCTCCCTATTTGTCAATATTTATCCACTACCTCAGCTTCAAAACTGGTATAATTTCTTTGTCTTTGATGATGACAGTGAGCTCTTGACACTGATGGGAAATTTGAAATGTAAAGGATTTTTGGCATCAATCAGAAGCAATTTTGATCTGTTATATCAATATCTACTGGGTCTCAATTGGAAGACAGTATTTGGATATCAGGGTTATGGAGAAAAGCTTTCAAGTCAAATGGTTTGAAATTATTCTAAGTAGGGCTGAGTCTACTGGGAATCCTTTTTTTTTTTTTTTTTAACACAGTTTGATTTAAACACTTTGAATGATTAAGACATTTGAAGATATATTTTAGAATGGACCACAGTCTTCTATTAAAATCCTCATCTAAGCCAAAAGTGATAAAAAATTAAAATTAGATAAATGTTAAAAGTTCACTTATATAAGTCCTAGAGATCTACTGTACAAAACAGTACCTATAGATAACAGAACTGTTAGCATACTTAAAATTTTTCTAATAGGCTAGATCTTATATTAAGTGTTCTTATAAAAATAACAATAATAAAGAGGGCAGGAGGAAACTTTTAGAGGCAATAGATACGCTTATGCATTGATTGTAATGGTTTCATGGGTATATATTTATCTTCAAACTCATCAAGTTGTTTACACTAAATATGCACAGCTTTCTGTATGTCAATCATACTCCAAAATAAAGTAGTTTTAAAAAATTCCAGTAATCTATTATAATAAATATTTATGAAATACGGTTGCATAATATAGAAACATAATAAAATTAAGAATTACATGATTGATTATTCCAGATAACCAAATGGTACGCACATGAGTATTAAAACATATCTTAAATTGTCACTATTTTAGACAGAAATAGGTTTAAAATGTATTATTTAGAGCCATGTTTTCTCATTCAGAATATCACAAACATTAGTGATCTGTATCTTTGTAACTCAAGTGGATTATGCTATTTATCCATTAATGCTCTGTAATTGTCAAGGTCTAGACAGGAGACAGAACTTGCACTTAACATTTTAACAGCGAGAATTTAATATATGGGATTGTTAACTATGCATAAAGTTGTTAGCTAGATGACTATAAAGAGAAAGCAAGAACATTAAGGTATCATGGAGAAAGCCGCCGCAGGAAAGAGCTACCACCCATAGGACTGAGTGAACAAAGGCACTGCAGTGGCATTATTGAAACGTAAAACCTTGGTGGGGGCACTACAGAGCTGAAACTCAGCCTCTGAGGAGGGGGCATGTGATTGCTAGTACTGATGTTCCTCATCTTGGAAAAGAGGCCATGCAGAGTTGGGAACACAGAGCTCTGAGAAGGGGGCACCTGTTTGCTAGAACTAATGTCTTTGATGATGGACGGCATGATGCAGCTGTTTCTGCGAGCACTGGAAAAACTGTCAACTGGATTCAGCTGCTGTGATGAGAATAAACTGATGCTGCTGAGGTGAAGTGCTGCTAGGGGATATCCACTGGAACCGCAAGTCCAGAAGCAGCCCACAGGAAGGGAACAGGAAGAAGCAGGCCCCTCTACCTCCCCTAGCCTTGTGGTCTCCTGCAGGCGCCCACTATTACCAAAGCCTAATAGAGAGTCAGATGGCAAAGCAAAAATGTGGTTTGCAAAGTTCCAGCTCCAGCATCACAAAAAAGATACAGGAGGGCGAGTTTGGTACTGAGAGAAAATAGCATAATGACTGGCACATGGCCTTAAGAGATAAACTACAGATAGAACAGAGCACACCCTTTCAAAGAACCCTCCCAGGAAACCTGTTGACTTTTCTGTAAGCACCTTACATGCTCTCTCTTCTAAATATGTTATCCATGATTCAAGGAAGAGTGGGGAAAGTTTGTTAAAGGTACCTGTTTTACCCATGACCCCCAAAACAATAGTGTCCACCTTTAATGCAAGTTCATCTTTCTCTTACAAAATAAATTACAATGGCTCAGTGATAATTGTTCACATAAATTTTGAGGAGTCACTGTCACTTATATTTGGAATCTGGGCATGGATTAAAATATTAAAGTGATCAGAAATCTGACTGATGATCTTTAATCTCTTAGTTAGCTGAAGCAATCAGGGTATTGGATACCAGCTCTTTTTATCTTATTTGTATACCTAACAGGATGGAATAATCATCCAAAAATACAAAATACAGGTATTTTGATAGCAAAAATATAATAAATTTGTCTCTCTGGAATTAAGATCAAAGCATATGGTATTGTATAGGACTTTGCTTTCCATAAATTGGATTAATTCTTACAATTTGTGAATTGCCAAGAAGCATTTAATTTGAGAAATGTTATAATATATCAAAATTTAGTGAAAAGCAAACAATTATTTCTGTCATCTTCATGCCTACTGAATTGTTGGTTTGACAATCCAGAGAGACAGCAGACCTATGGAGGGGAGAACGAAAAATCTAACTCTTTAAAATAAGTCTTTGTCTCTATCTTGCTTAAAACAGCTTCCCAATGAAGCAATTCTAATCTGATTACATAGGCTTGATCTTGAACCTACATTTAGAAAGAACTCATTACATCAACAGAGATTAATGGAATTAGAAATGGATTTTACAGAGATTATTTAAGTAACTCTATAGTTTTATAATTAACAGGGTTTTTCTTTTAATTTCCCACTGAGGGAAAATTTATCCATGTATATTTATCAACATAGGGTGCTAATATTGTTCAAATTACTTCTTACCTATTAACATCCCAGATTTTGCTAGTTGTATCCAATGAGGAGGAAGCCACAAAATCACCACAGGAGTGCCACGTGCAGGACCATACTGCATGGGTGTGTCCTTCGAAGGTCAAAATGCAATTGCCTTTAGACAGGTCCCATAATTTAACTGTAGTGTCACCACTTGAAGTAGCCAACTTGTTGCCACTATTTGCAAGAACATAAAAAAGTAATCTGTTAAAAAAATCAACTTGCAGTTAATTTATTATGAATGGTTGTATTCTGTGAATAACTTGTGTGTGTGTCTGAGTTATTTTTACTTTTAAGGACATATCTTTATGCCTGAATCTTATTATCTTATTTGAGTCTGCACAATTTGATACTTCCTTATATTGTTTAGTAATTCAAATTGATTAGAGAACTGCTGTTGCACAGTTTCTGTATTAATTCTATAGTCTTCCAGATTAATCCACTAAACAGCACTTTTTTAACATATACGTTAGTTTCAGGGCTATGTTAGGCTCTGTGGATGATATAACCTCAGAATGATGAAAATTTAGACGTGGGCTAAGACAATTTCAAACACATAATACAACATAAAACAGTAGGTCAGCATTGTTTATGTTTGTATTAATTAAATGCTGCAGGAGTGCAGCTTGCATTTTGAAGAAATATGTGAATCAGAAATGAGAGGACTTTGGAGCTACATCTTGAGAGATGAAAGATTTTGAAGAGCTGGGTGGTTAAGAATGAGTCATTGGATTTTCCATTTGAGTCATTAGTAGATGTTAAAAAAGCAGTGGCTTTCAAGTGGTGGACCCAAAAAAAAGTTTAAGAAATGAGTGGGTGTCCATATCATGAAAAGAAACATCTAGGTTTTTTCCACATCCTTCAGCATTGTTTGCTCCTTCTATGTGTTCTCTTAGTAACTTTTCTCTCACTGAATATAATGAACTGCTTATCTGCCTCCTTCCTTGTGTTTTTGATGGGGAACTGTTTCCTCTCTCTGTTTCTACAGCATCAAGCATTATGATTAACCAACTGAAGTGCTCATTAAATGCTTTCAGAATGAATAAATATATGAATGAATGAATGAAGTGATGCTATAAATGAAGAAGAAAAGTTGCCCAAAATTTCTAAGACCGTAATGGCACTTGCATCAAGACAAGCATTTTGCTTGCTTGCTTTTACTTGCTTACTTTTATGCTGAGAGAATTGAACTTTTATGAGCAGCAACCACTGGAGAGGAAGGCTCAAAGATTCTGCCAGAAAAGCAGATTATAGAGTGAAGACATTTGCATTAAAGTGATAAAAGGATATTTATTTCTTTTTCAAATTAGCAGATTTTAAAAATTACTAAAAAAAAGTACTATATAAGCGTAGTCCTTTACTAATAGGTAGATATTAAAAACTGTCCTTTGCTTTGCAACTGTGGTTTATCTGTACATGTTTGCCATTAAAATTTTTACTTTTTAATATTAAAACTGAAAAATACATTTGTCTAAAGATACCGCATTATAATATCACATTGAGGGTTATAGCTTCAAAATATGAATCTGGGTAGGGGCCTGGGGGGACACAGACATTCAGTCCATGACAGTATATAAGTTAAAAATAGGGATGGTAGAAAAAAAGAATACATTTTCCTGGTCAAAATCTCAGAGGAGAATGATATAAAATGGGATACAGGAAACACTCAAAGAATTACAAGTTGACAATTTACAGAAACTGGAAATTTAAGATGTAGAACCACAGATTCTGGAAGAAAAATGTATACCAGGTGGAATAAACAGTGTAAACAAGAAGAAATCTTCACTTAGATAAATTTTAGTCAACTGCAGAGCACCATAGGCAACAATATAAATAATTAGAAGAATAAGAAGAGAAAAAAAGAGAAGGAAACGTTATTTATTTACATAGCGCTTAACACATGCTAGAAACTCTACTAAGCACATTATATACATTTGATCCTCACAAGCATCGAATAGTTTGGGCAGCTTTATTATCTCCAAAACACTTGAACAGTATCACAGAGCTAGTAAGTGGCAGATCTGGAATTTCTTCAAAGAGCCAAGAGAAAATCAGGTTACTTTAGAATTATCAAAAGTTCCTCTCAAGATAGGCAAATAAAAATATCCTCAGCTAAACAAAGCAGTTCTCCCCTAGGGGAACTACTAAGAATGTATTTCAAGGGTGGAAAAAAACAGATCTTAGAAGGAAGATCTGAAATGAAGGAAGGGTGAGCAAAGAATCTGGTAAACATGTCAGTATATCCAAACACTTATATAACATCAATAGTGCTTGAAGAAATTTAAACAAGAAAACAACAGTAATATTGACAATAACATTCCTGTGGAAGACACTACACTGATTAATTTTAAACTTTATGAAGTCAATTCTGCATGGTGAAACGTTAAGGTTAACCACTAAAAGAACAGGAATAGAGTACATAACTTCTAGACCAGTACAAAAAATGAGAAATAGGTTTTTGTTTTAATATCCAAAATAAAGCAAGAAAGGAGAAATACAGCACTAGAATAAGTGGTAGGAATAGAAAACAAACAAGAAAAGACAGTAGAAAAAAAGTGAAACATAATAATACCAGTAAATACAAACGACCTAAACAGGAAGTTAAAAGACAAAGATTTTTCAGTTTGGCTAAAAATGAACAAGTTCAGCTACATGATGTTTACATGAGGCTCACTAAACTCCTTAGGACATAAAAAGGTCAAAAGTTAAAAAAAAAAAAGATACCTAGCCTAAAAGGAATGGAAAAAAAAAAAGATGAAGTAGCTCTATTAATATCAGACAAAAAAGACCTTAGGGCAAAAATGTGTTATTAGGGATAAAAATAGTCCCTATGTAAATAAATAAAATGATAAAATGTTTCACTCCTAGGAAGATTTTTAAACTAAATTATATAAAAATACTGAATGCATCTTAACTGATAAAAGTGACAATGTTAGCACCATAGAAACAAAAATGACCAATCTACTGTCAAAGTGAAAGATTTATGCACCTCTCTCAATTTATTTTCTAATTCAAAATTCAAAAAGATATGGAATCTTTAAGGAATAAAAATTACAACCTTAATGGCTGTATATAAAAGCCTTTGTCAAATAACTAGTGACTATACATTCTTCTCAAGTATATATGGAACATTTATAAAAACAGACAATATAGAAACCCATAAAGCAAGTCTTAACAAATTGAACATATTTGTTATCACAGAGGTTATATTTTTCTCATCACAATTCAATTGTTATAAATGAATAACAAAATCATATATTTTTAAAACCTGTATATATGTGAATTTTAAAACAGTTTTAAATAACTTACATATCAAAGAAGAAATAACAGTAGATATTTAAAAATAATTAGAACTAAATGAAAACACAACATATTAAAATTATGAAGGTGAAATCAAAATAGAATTTTAAAGGCAACTTAATTTCTTGACCTTCTAATAATGAAAAGAATACAGCCTCAAAATTGTTCTGCTAAACATGAGACTTTAAGTTTAGAAAAAATATGCTATCAACTATGAAAATGGAAGATCAATAAAGACCAAAGTGGTTCTTTAAAAAAACTAAAATAAGTATATCCCTGCTAAGGCTGAAAAAAAAGAAAAGAAAAACATCCCTCAATATGACAATCTATTAAGCCATACACTAAAGAGATTTTACAAAGGTATAAAGTAGTGTCATTCTTTTCATTTTTCTTGAAAATTATTTTTCATAAAAAATGTTATGTAAGCATGAGTTTTTTGCAGCTTATGAACAGCCTACAAATAAATCATATCAAATTTGGTTGGGTCAAGCCCATTTATACTTTACAAACAGTAAGCAAGAATTATCATCTGTTTTTATAAATAGTTTATATTTTCTGTAATTGTTTTATTCCTTATTTTTCCATATTCTTTGTGCAAATTATTGACTTTTTCAGACTTTGGCACATAACTGCAGAAATATTAGAGTTTGTTACTGTCAAAAATGACTTCAGTTTTGAGAACTAAATATATTATAACTTCCAGATTGATGCTAATTACCTGTTTTTACAGAAATGTGCTAATGTGTTTCATTAGGAAGGGGTGGAACAGAAAGAAATTAATGCCTCTTGTGTCACAAAGTAGGAAGTGGAGAGAGTAGAAACAAGAAGATGTGGTTGGCTTCTCGCTCTGGCTCTGCTAGATGACCTACGTGACCTTGGACAGGCCATTTCACATTTACATTTAACACTTGTGAAATTCACTGTCTTTATTTGAAAATATGGATGATATGTTCTGCTCAGTATAATTTAAAGTGTTGTTTTGAAGATCAAATCAAAGAACTTTTATAACAGCACATTTTTAATTCCAGGTATCATTCAAACTTGTGATTATTTTTTTAAAAAAGATTCTCTTGGATCTCTAGTTCAGTTTTTATGTGAAATTGTTTACTCACATTTCCATAAATAGTGGAATGAGATCCAATTACTACCATTATATTGCAGTCTCATCTACCTGTGTCTATCTACTCAATAGTACTATATGAATTTGTAAAAGGACTATCAGTCACAGTGTTCTCAATTACCACAGAATACACATGTATTATTTTATGTAGCAGAATAACATACAACCAAAATCTAATTAAACTATTTTCTTCTTCTGTGTTTGTATAGGTAAAAGATCTAATTTTGGTTTCACTGAGCTCATAAAATGATGACATTAGGAAAGCTCACATTTAGAATTTAGATTACTTGAAAAACATTGTCACATTTGAGATACATTTTTACTGTCCCGTTTGTGAGAGTCCCCCAAACTTTAAGCTAAAAGTTAAAAGGGCTTAATGCTTTCATACAAGTTACTTTAAACCCTTACTTAGTCTTCGATACAGAGCTGCTTGGCTGCATTAGGGCTGGGTGTTGAGGGCACTGTGAAAGAGGAAAGTAAGATTCAAGTACAGGTCCACACAGAGAATGGTCTTGGTTGGTTTTCTGAAGTAAAGGGTGCCCATGTCCAAATGTTCTTGCCTTCACTTCCAAGTGATACACCCTTTTTTGTGTAGGAATCTGGAATCAACCAAGAATCATAAACAAAGCAAATACAGAAGACGGCATTATATGCAGATATTACAGACTCTAGCAGAATCAGAGAGGCAGGATTGAGCATTCAGGAAAGAACAGGCTTTCCCTGGCTGGATGCAAAACTACTGTCCTTTTTTGGGAGG